GGCTGAAAACACCTTCCAGATTACAACTGTAAAGTTTGATGGTTCGAACTACTTAGAGTGGGGCCAATCAGCCATGATGGCCATTGGGGGAAGAGGAAAGCTGAATTATTTGTTGGGAGATGTGAAGGAACCAACCAAGGAGGATCCCACTTATGCTAAGTGGATTCAGGAAAATTATTTGGTGATCACATGGCAGTGCAACTCTATGCAGACACACATCAGCCGAAATTACTTATGGGCAAAAACAGCTAAAGAAATTTGGGATGTTGTGAAAGAAACCTACTCTCAGCCCCTTAATGTTGCTATGGCTTATGAGCTGAAATGTGAGGTTAAAAATCTCAAACAAGGGGAGAAACAGGTCTCTAATTATTTCTCAACCCTAAAATCCCTGTGGCATGAGATTGACCACCTTGAGACAATTGAATGGGAGAGTCAAAAAGATGCACAAACTTATAGAAAGCAAATTGAAACTAACAGAGTATTTGAGTTCTTGGCTGGTCTAGATTCTGAATATGATATTGTAAAACAGCAGCTATTGACGAGAGAAAGTGTGACTCTATCTCAAGTCTATTCCCTAGTGCACAGTAAAGAGACTAGAAGAAAGGTTATGTTACAGCAACAGCCTTTCAAATCTGCCCTAGCAGCAGTTAAACCCAAGCCAGGGGAGATAAGGAAAGGGATATGAAGAAAGAGGCTAAAAAGGACCTAGTTTGTGAACATTGCAAGAGACCTAAACACACCAAAGACACTTATTGGAAGTTGCATCCACATCTAGTTCCAGCAAAACTCAGAAACAAAAAGGGTAATGCCAATATGGCTATCAACACTAAGAATGCAACCTCAACGGCTTCAAGAGGTACCCCTCTAGATACCCTAGTTGTTGTCCAAGTTGCTCTGACACAATTTGAAAGTGAAGTCAGTAACTCAGTATCATCTCCTCAGCCATCATCAACTCCTTCAACCTCATCTTTTGCTCAATCAGGTAATCAGGCCTCAGCTTATCATGCTTCAGTTCCAGGTAATACAAAACATTCTTGGATAATAGATTCAGGAGCATCTGACCATATGACTGGCTTGGCATCACTTTTCTCTACCTATCATTTATCTTCTGGTAAAGACAAAGTATCAATTGCTGATGGATCCCTTGTTCCTATTTCTGGCAAAGGAGACATCAAGTTGTCTGATTCAATTTCCCTATCCTCCGTCCTGCATGTTCTAAGCTTAATACTAACTTGCTCTCAGTTAGTAGCATTACAAAAAGGCAGAATTGTTTAGTAACCTTTTTTCCTTATCGATGTGTTTTTCAGGATCTGGAAACAAGGAAGGTGATTGGGACTGGCCGTGAGACAATGGAATCTACTTACTTGGAGGAAGTACTCATCAGAAAGATAGTGAAACTAAGAAATCCTTTGTTTCTCAATCTGTTGATCAAGTGATGCTTTGGCATAATAGATTAGGCCATTTATCCTTTCGGGCTTTGAAAAGTTTGTTTCCCAGTATATTTGAATCTGTCCAGATGACTAGTTTGAAATGTGAAAGTTGTGAGCTTGCAAAACCTTACTGGACTACCTATTTATTAAGTAATAACAGAAGCAATGTTCCTTTTGAAATTGTGGATACTAATGTTTGGGGACCCTATCATACCACTGCCATGGGGGGGTACAGATATTTCCTATTATTTATTGATGATTACACTCGATTTTCTTGGGTTTACCTTATGCGTTCTCGAGATGAGATTCCAGCATTAACCCAAATCTTTCATCAAATGATTTTAACCCAAATTGGGGTCAAAATTTAGATTTTTAGATCCAATAATGAAAAATAATATTTTGCAAACCCATTAGCCTCCTACATGCTTGATCATGGAATTATCCATCAGAGTACCTCCCCATATACACCACAGCAGAATAGGGTTGTTGAAAAAAAGAATAGACACATATTGGAGGTAGCCAGAGGCATTATGTTTACCTCAAATGTGCCTATACGTTTCTGGGGGGATGTTGTTCTTACAGCTGTTTATCTCATCAATTGGATTCCCTCATGGGTTCTTGACATGAAAACTTCATTTACCCTTTTATACCTTGATAAAGAATTGTTTATCATTGCCCTCAAAATCTTTGGGTGCACTTGCTTCGTTCAAATCCTTGGCCCTCATCATTCCAAATTTGATCCCAAGGCCTCCAAATGTATTTTCCTTGGTTATGCCCAAACTCAAAAGGGATATTACTGTTATGAACCGACTTCTGGAAAAAGATTTGTCTCAATGGGTGTCCACCTTCTTTAAGGATAAACCCTATTATCCAAGGGTTTCTCCTCAGGGGGAGAATAGTGAAGCCGGGAGTAGCTCATTGGGTTCCTTTACCAATACCATTAAGTGAAGGATGTAATGGGGAAGGATGTCAAAGGTGCAAGGATGTGAGACTCTATCATAGACAATGGAGACAGGTCGATTTCGGACATCAACAGTGCAAGCCAGTCCTAGTCCCCTCTGCAGATCCAGATCCCAGTACCACAGTAGCCCAGTTTCTTCTGCAGATCCAGATCCAGGTACCACAAATACTACAGATGAGAGACATCCAACCATGGAGCCTTCACCTTCATTCAATGGCCTTGATCTCCCCATAGCAATCCGTAAAGGCAAACGCCATTGCACCATAGCTCACTGCATTTCTCAATTCCTATCCTATGATCGTTTGTCTCCCTCCTACAAGTCTTTTCTCGCATCCATTGTTGATATTCCCATTCCTAGAACAACACAGGAAGCATTGGAGGTACCAGAATGGAAAGATGCAATAAAAGTAGAAATGGATGCCCTCATTAGAAACAATACCTGGGAGATAGATGATCAGCCTAAAGGAAAGAAACCGATTGAATGTAGATGGGTATTCACTGTGAAACATAATGCTGATGGTTCTGTTGAAAGGTAATAAGGCCTGATTAGTTGCAAGAGGATTTACTCAAACATTTGGTATTGACTACTTAGAAACTTTTGCACCAGTAGCAAAGATGATCACTATCAGAGTACTATTATCTCTTGCAACTAATTACTCTTGGCCATTGTATCAGATGGATGTTAAAAACGCCTTTCTCAATGGAGACTTGCAGGAAGAAGTCAGTTTACTGCTCTATATGGACTAAAGCAATCCCCCAGAGCATGGTTTGACAGATTCAGATGAGCCCTTGATAGGTTCGGATATGTGCAGGCTCAGTTAGACCACACCTTGTTTATTAAGAGAGTGGATTCCTCTATAACATTGCTTGTCGTGTATGTGGACGATATTGTAGCAACAAGGAGTAATACTAGTGAAATTGAGTCTCTTAAGCAACTCCTTCATCAAGAGTTTGAGGTAAAAGATCTGGGGGACCTACAATACTTCTTGGGCATTGAGGTAAATAGATCCAAGCATGGAATTTTTGTCTCTCAACGAAAGGAAGTTCTTGATCTACTAGAAGAAACAGGAAAGTTGGGAGAGTTAAACATGCAGACACACCTATTGAACAGCACCACAGGATTAGTGCAGAGGGTGGAGAACCTATTGATGATAAAGCTATGTTCCAATGGTTAGTTGGAAAGCTTCTCTATCTTTGCCTCACATGACCTGACAACAGTATGCAGTCAGTGTAGTTAGTTAGTATATGCACTTTCATAGAACTACTCACTTCCTTGCAGTTGAAAAGATATTAGCATATTTGAAGAGGTCCCCAGGCATAGCCATTTTGTTCAAGAAAAATAACCACATGAAGATAGAAATCTACACAGGTGTTGATTGAGCTAGGTGTGTTGATGACCGAAGAACTACCTCTGGATATTGTGCCTTTATAGGAGGGAATCTGGTCTTCTAGAAGAATAAAAAATAAAGTGTTGTTTCTCGTTCAAGTGCTGAAGCTAAATATAAGTCCATGGCAAATGGTGGCTGAGATTCTATGGTTGAGATCATTACTTGAGGAATTGGGTATTGTTTATGAGAAACCCTTAATGTTGTACTGTGATAATCAAGCTACCATCAGTATAGCCACAGAACTAAGCATCTTGAAGTGGACCAGCATTTTATCAGAGAAAGGGTTACATCTCAAGAAGTATGCCTTCCCTATATCGCCTCCGACATGCAACTTGCAGACCTTCTCACCAAGACTGTTTCAAGAAAAAAGTTAAAAGAAGATCTATGCAAGTTGGGAATGACAAATATCTACTACCCAACTTGAGGGGGAGTGTAAGAAACCGCAAACCCCACATTAAGTGTATTCGTGTGACATCCTGAGATGTACTTAGATTTAATTGATTAGAACCAGCTTTCCTAGTAGGATTAGTTTTATTCTATTTTATCTAGGATTAGTTTTATTTTAATCTTATCTTATATTGCCCTGTTCTTTTACAATTAGGAAACTATGTATATAAATTAAGGAGTGGGGCGGCTGTTTGAAGCACTCCAACCACTCCCTTCTTTCAAAGCTTATCCCACGAATTCTCCTCCTTTATTTTTCTTCTCTTCTTCTCTTTTATTTTCTGTTCAAAATCTAAAGTCTCTGTAGTCTTGTACAACTACTAAAACAAACAAGAATATTGTCATTATAGCTTGCTATCAGACAAGGAGGACTAACCAGATACATGTATAAACATGACAACATCTTTAAAGAAGTTATAAACACTAAAAAAACTATATAGCATTTAGTAGCTGGAGCACTTGAATCCAGATGAGATGGACAATTACCTGAATATGATAAACATGATGGGTAGGTAACAAAGATAAATTTCTAAAATGTAGGTGGACACAGAAAACCAAAAAAAAAAAAATCCAGCATATATAAAGTACAGTGCGTGTCACCTCAAAAGACACTTCAGTTTTTACTTTGAATTCCATTATTAATAGCTTGTTTGCCCTGTCCTTTCTTTTTATATGTAACTAACAGGACAATCCATAGTTATTAGGAGATGCAATAATAAGAAATGGTGATTAAGAAGGGGTGATAAAAACAACTTCGCATTCTATCTAGTACTTTACCAATTCATATTTTCAGATTCAGCACTGTTCTTCAAAATCCACTTAGCCACAGTGCCACAGTCAACTGGACGGTGAGCCTCCTCAGTACACTGCATATTTATAATTAAAAGATTTTAGACTGATCACCGAATACACAACAGGGAGGACAAATGTGTATATCGAACAACAGAAAGGGAACTCACATTCCAGCAAAATCCATATGAGCATTTACAGGTAATGTCATAGCTCCCACTACCAACAACAAATTCTACAGCATAATCACATCCTGGAGCAGGGCACCATTTGGTCTAGAAATGCAAAAAAAAATAAAATAAAGGAAAATTAATAAACAAAAAGATTAAAGGAAATATGAATAGCAATTCATACAACATAAAACACCTAAAATTTTTCACATCAATGATCATCCCATGTAAAAAGAGAGAAGGTTTTACTTTCTTATTAACAAATAAGAAAAAGGTTTCAAATACCAAAAGAAGCATAGAATTTACAGAATTAAGGTTAGTGGAATGACGCATGTTATAAACATTAAAAACTCTCAGATATACCTTCCTATTGTCTTCAATATAAGATCTAAGTAGGTAACGGGAATACTTCCCCTTGTCTTCGTTAGAAGCCAAAACATTGATCATATCTTGACCAACAGCAGCACCACAAGATGGATCAGGACATCGCAGCATTAAACATCCAGGACCATCGTTAATTGAGGTACTAATGTAACCTGCAAGGTGGAGGAGGAAAAGGTTGCTACAATCTACCAACAATAGGAAGAAATCATTCAACTGAAATGAAAAAGAGGTTAACAACAAGAAACCATGCTAGTTCAAAGAAAAAGGCCTATTGGGCCAAGAGACAGACAAGAATTTCTTAAGCACAAAAAGGGGGAAACTAACAGGGTTCAACCGAACATTAAGTATCAGCAATGATACTCTATCTTTTGTATTGACTTTGTGCTTAAGAGAGCCATGCAACTATTGTGGCATGCTGCACCACCATTTCTTTTATTAACCTAAATGATTGAATACTCAAGACATCAAGACAAAAAATAAAATGTTTCAAACCATCTATTCTGCCAGTAGCTTGACAGGTTTGTGTAAAGTCTTTTTGTGTTGATGTCAAAATTTAAACACAGATCAAAAGGGGACAAGGGCTAAGAGCACAAAGAGAATAGAGAGGATAAATGATGGGAGAATTATGAAGCGAAAAAAAAAATACAATAAATTTCCAGTCCAAGACAAAACCATCCTCATTCCTGGAACCCTACAAAATTACTAAGACAACATCTAAACAGTATCTTGTTAGGAGAATGAGGCATATGGAATGCAGTAAGATGAACCTGTCCAGCATGTGCAACAAAAAGGATGACCACAAGCAGCAGCATTCATTCTATCACGAGGATAGGTCTCAAAACAGATTCCACAAGTCAGCTGCAATTATCACCCATGCCATAATTAGCATATATCATCAGTCTCCACTATGTAATTAAGATTCAATCCAAGTAACTAAAGTTTTAGTTAACATGTAATATGTTTTGACATGGTTGCCATAGAATATTTTTAAAACTTACTTCTCTAACATTTTTTGGAATGTAAACAATTGGTCTCTCCAGCAAGCCAACCGCCTTTCGAACTTTGTCCTCATCTGCAAACCATGCATCATGGACTTTGCTAACACTCCTGTGCAGTCCAAATATATATTTCCTCAGAACATAAAAGCATAAAGAATGCCAATGAGTTTAGAAGATCTAGATTCTATAATAGCATGCCTTTCCTATACATTCATCAAAAAGTAAATAATGATCCATATGAATCAGAATCAACTAAAGAATGATCCATATGAAATCAGAATCATTCTGCCCATAATAAAATAAGAAATCAAATTATTGAAAGAGATGCACATGCACCTAACCAACAAGGCATTACATCATCTGAAATAGAGCCATGTCAAACACCTTTACATCTTCACGTGTCATACACATACTACTAGTTCTGTTTCAGGAAAAAAAATACTTATTTTATTACATATCTCTTGTTTTCAATTATAACACTGTCAATAAATTTTTCATGTAAATCAATTTATTCTAGGTCCATTCTTTTTTAAGACATTCTAACAACTAAATTCTGTCAGGAATACTACATAATATATAAAATACACTGTACAAGGCATTTTGATTTCTTTTTCATTGTTGCCTGTCAGAACACCTTATACCAGTGCCGTAGATGCACACATGTGTGTGACACAGAACTTAACAAAATTGATGGCCTGAAAAGAAGGTATGCAACCATGTTTGTGACACTGAAACATAACTGGTTGTCCAAAAGGGGAGCTGATCAGGAGTAGCGAAATAGAGCATCCATTTACCAGTTATAGTGGCGGAGCAGAATGCTAGCTGAAACTCTTGGTATGGAAAGCACAGTTGATATCATTGAAATATCTTCCTCTTGACGTTGACGTATATCAGCCTCACTCAAAATAGTATAGTTTTGCTGAAATGTGGAAATCAATAAATATTATAAGAAAATACCCATGTATATGTTACAAAGAAGATTACACAAAGCATACATGGCAAGGTGTTTAGAATTTTTCACCATCTAAGGACCAGATAAATAAAAGCAATGTGGTTTATATAGCAGGCAGGAAACACAAAACAATTGACACAGCTACCTAAAACAGATTAAGGAAAATTGTTCACCAATTCCCATAGAAGCATTATACCCCACGGAGTTTGCAGTTGGTTAAAGAAATTTCAGTTAGTTAAAAAATTAAATGTTACGAGAATATAGATCTATGCCCCACCCTACCATCCCCCACACACACACACACACAGCCAGAAGCTTCTTGTGCATTACTTGGACTCTATGCTAAAACTTAAAACACACTATGTCTTGCATGGCATAAACTTTTTGCATTGCCTATGCGTGACATAACACAGTCATAAATTGAAATGACATTACCAAATCATATAAACAAGCGAGAGCGAATTCATAAGGATATAAAAACAGATCTGTTTCCCTTTAGATGAGAACAAACTTATATAAAAGTAATCGATACATGATTTGAGATGAAAATTTAAAAAAAAAAAAAAAAAAAAAACGCTGCATGCAAGGAACAATATCTGATTTTGAATTTCTATTAGCAGATTGAATACTCATCAAAAGGCTGAAAGAAGCTCAGCTAGTACCACCAACAAAGCTCATTAATTCCCGGTTCAACACCAAACCCATCAGGGAACAAATCAAAAAAGTACCAAAAAACCACAATAGCATAAAACTACTACGATCAAGGAAAATTCCAAATCAGGAAGCTGTAAACTCCCATGAAAACGGAAACCACTTCTCAATAAAAAGCTCAACCCCCCCCACAAAAAAAAAAGCTTCTTGGCTCCGGCGACCGGAATTCACCTGCTGTCGGTGCGATATGGTGTCATCGGAATCATCCGTATCATTAAAATCGTAATCCGCATCGTCGTCGTCGCTCGCCATCGCCGTCTCGCCACTGTAGAAGTCATCGAGGGATTCCACATCGTTCGCATCGTGCATATCGTCTTCCGAATCCATTACCCACCAAACCACAAACTCAAAAACCCCAAAACCCTAGAATTCCTCAAGCTCGATACAATTTCTCCCTTCGACCAAAACGAAACTGAGGAACTGCAGATTAGGGCTCAGAAAACGCGGGAAATCGAACGAAATCCGAGAAGATAACACAGAAAAAAATCGACCGGATAAGCACTGAGGCGATTGATTTCGAAAGGAGTCAAAATTTTCTCTTGAGAAACAAACTGAGATTAGAGTGATAACAACAGAATACCGATCGACCTACTGGACTATGGGTTTTCATGGTTTTGGTTTTGGCTCAAGCTCTTCACCAAAAGAGAAGAATCTCCCAGCTTAGGGAATATATATTTTACCTCTCCGACGCAGAGTCCTTTAAACTATAGGTATTAACTTTAAAAATATTAAATATTAAAATTTATTTATTTATTTATATATATACATCCTCTATGACACCGTGTAGAGAACGATCTGCCTTTTGAGTTTTGACGTGATAATCACAACCGATAACAAATGGGATCCAGCTTCAATGTGATATTCACATAGCTCGGTAGATCGATTTCAATATGATATTTGGCTTCAAAAAATTTGTGATATTCGAAGAGTATTTTGACGAGATTTTTCAAAAACTATTGATTTCTGATATCACTGACACTGATTTCTAAAAAAATCGGAAAAACTGCTTTTTATAGTTGTTATTATTATCGGGAGTGATCGATTTCAATCAGAAGTTGTCAACCAATTTTTGAAATCGACTATGAATGTATTTGTTAGTTATTATCCGGAGTGATTTTTGTTATTACCGGAATTATCTCCCTTATCCGTGTTAGAGGCCACAATCATTAAAAATAATCAGAATCGGCTTTGAAAGAAGATTCATTGTTTTTGGTGATTCCTATTTTTCAATCCGATTTTAATAATGGACTTTTTAATTGAATTGCCAATTTTTGAGAAATTGCCCAATCAAATAACAAAATAATTGGCAATTTTGGAATTGATGATGTGGTTCTAATGTGGGGTTGATTTTTTTAGAAATTGGCATCAATCCCAAACACCACTTAATTAAATGACATTATTTGTACTTTTAAGTGGGACCTTGTGTGAAAGGATTTCATGTTCATTCACACTTCATAGTAGGAGCTAGTCCTGTTCATGGGCAGGTAGTCCGATGAACTGGCCTGACACGGTCCAGTCCGTTATAAGTTGGGCTTGGTCATAATTTTAGGTCCGTAGGTTTGGGCTTGGGCCTAAAGCACCGGTCTTGACTTTTTTCGGGTCAGGCTCAGGCTTTCTGAAAAAAGCCCAACTCAAGCCCGAGTTCAACTTGATATTATATATTAAATAATAAAAATATATTTTATTTAATAAAAAATATATATACAATATTTTTTTCTTTGTTATTCTTCTATTTTTCCAAGTAATAGTGAGATTTTTATTATTTTTGAGTTTTGAAGGTTTTTAATATAAATAAAACATTTTTATTGAATAAAAAATAAAACAAAATCTGTTTTCAAATGTTTGGCCGGGCTCGAGCTCGGGCCCGAGTTTTGGGCTTTATATGAGAGTTGGGCTTGGGCTCAAGATCTATGCCCAATGGCCGAGCCAGGCTCGGGCTCGGGCCTGAGTGTACTCTATTGATACATATACAAAACCCAGCCCAAACTCAACCTTGCCCGGCCCATGAACAGGTCTAGTAGGAACTATTTAGGACCCATGCGATGTATGGGCTTTGTTGACCAAATTTCAGCTAGAAAGAACCGTAAGACATTCCTAATTGACCCAAGTTGGTCCAAGGAAGCATTTGGTATCTCTGAACTAGACCTGTTCATGGGCCGGGCCGGGCCGACCATCGGGCCTACAATTTGGGCCCGAGCCCAGCCCTCATAAAAAGCCCGAAGCCCGAGCCTGGGCCCGGGCCCGAAATTTAGCCTATATTATTATTATTATTAATGTTGAAGCAGCTGAATAAAGAGAGAGATAGATTGAAATTATAAAGAAAAGAATAATATATATATATATTAAATTATAAATATATATTTTAATAAATATTATATTAT